TGTGTTTTTATGTCTGCTTGTGTTTTAACTGTCATCTGTGTCAGTCATGCCAGCCCATTTATCTGTCTGCCTCCCTGTTTCCTGATACTCCCTTTCTTCTCATTAAAAAAAAAAAAATTCTCATTTTTCTCTTTGGTGTTTCTGTTTACCAGTTGTCTTAGCAGGGATTGGTTTTTCAGAGACAACCAATGAGAGAGCTCCTTTCCAAAGAGATAATGAGCTATCCCAACCATATCATTTGCTGTGCAAATGATGATACAATATATTTTTCCCCATATAAAACTTTTCTGATAAATGTTGTTTTCAGTTCTAAATAGCAGGCAATTTCTAATTCTATTTCTTCCTTTACCCAAGAATCATTTAGAATTACAATTTTTTTTCAGATTATATGTTTTATTATTTGGATCATATTTTTGTTTGTTTTCAATGTATATTATTGCATTTAGTGAATTTTTTGACATTAGCTAAAACTTCCTTTATAAAATAGTACAGTACATAAGCTAATTTTTATTAACGTTCCATGTAAAAGGAAGATGCACTATTTTTTTCTTATATACAGTACATAGACTGTTAATTAGCTTATCCAAATTTTCTGTCCCCTGAATTACTTTTTCTGCTTAATCTGATGGCTTCTGAAAGGTGCCATTCTGGTTTTATAAATGTCTCCTTTTGATTCTGTCTTTTTCTTTATGAACATCAGCGCTTCTAAGCTTGTAAGTGAAGGCATACGGCTGGTATGTTCTCAGTGGATTATTAATTTAATCTATGAGAAAGTCTTGATCTATTAATGCTTGTTTGCTTTCAATTTTATTTTGTCGGATATTAATTTTGTTACCCATGTGTGAATAAAGGGTTAACAAAACCCTTTCCCCTTTTCCACGAGAAACTGAAGTTCAGTTAACTTTCTAGCTTTAGAACCATGCTGTGTAACAGCCACTAGCCACACACAAGAATGGCTGATACTGGCTCACAGTAGACATTACCATCATCTCAGAAAGTTATTTTGGATAGCAAGTGTTCTAGGAAGTCGACTTTAGGTTTAGTTAAGTTTCGCTAGAAGTAGAACTGCTGGATCAAAGGTACGCATAATTTAAAAATGACACAAATTCTAAAATTTTCTCCAGAATGCAATGCCAATTTACACCAAATCCATTAGCATATAAAAGTCCAATATTTCCCACGCTTCACAAGAAATGACATAATTTTGGTTTAATTTGCACTTATTTGACTACTAGTAAAATTATACATGTTCTTACATGCTTATTTGCCTTTGTGACCTGTCTGCTTACATTTGGTTTAGATATTAGTATAACTGGAGCACAAAAGCTAGAAAACAATTCTTATTAGGTTTTCACATTATCCATTCTCATAAGAAATAAAACACTTCATTAAACTTTTTAAAATTTTACCTCATCCAAACAGTTGACACGAACATTCTTGCTGCCTAATAGTGTTCCAGCTTCTTGAATAGTACCTTTAAAAAAAAAAGAAAGAAAAAAGTTATTTATCATTAGAACATTAGAATAGAAAAAAAATCTAACATCAAGGAAACAAATTTTAAAGGGTTATCTGTAAAACTAATCAGATTAGATTATTAAGAAATAAAGCATAAATCATATACTATTACTCCACAAAGTAATTATGCATAAGAATAGATTTACAGAAACTAAAATAGTTCCATCTTGTTTTTATTTCCACTGACCTTAGAGTATATTAAATTGGCCACATTTTCCTTTTGGCAGTAATACAATAACCACAAAGCATAATACACTTAATACTGAAACAAATCTTACAGGGCATCTAGTCCAGACTATAATCCAAAGCTTAAATTCCCATCACTATAATAATTGGAGTTCAAAATACCGTCAGTATTTCTATACTTTGTCACCACTGGGCCCTGTGAATTGATGGCGTACTTTAATAATAGAGTTCTTGCTTTGGAAATGCTTAGGTAAACATATCTCTAAAGCCTGGCACTATACAAAAGTGCCCGGTAGTCAATATTCAGACTCTCACACTGGAAGTCCTCTCATGTAATCCTGAAAGTCGGGCTTCTATAAATTTGGATAAAAGCTGTAATTGGGCCACAACTGTCAGGTTTTTCCAGTCTTCTGTAAGGCACGCAGACAGAAGCAAGCAGTTGCAGAAGAGAAATGTTGCTATTATCATCATTAATAAGAGTCAGCCACACGTTCTGCCAAAAAAATTTCTGGTTTGACGGGGAAGAGAGAACAATGGGATTGAATGTTCCCAGAGAGAAAGGATGAGATAAGCCTCTCCTCTGAAAGGACACACAAGAATAGGAGCATCTCTCCACTAGGAGTTGTTTCTTCTCTTTAAAATTAGAACTATAGTTCAAGAACGTGCTAAACGCTGCTAGGCTTCCAGTTGAAGGTGGAATGCAGAACAAAGATAAGCAAGCTTCTCCCTGACCTGCTTCTTAGGGGTGTCATCTCACCAACCTGGAATAGACAGAGAAAGGTCTCCTTTCCCAGGCTGACAGAGAAACAGTCCTGCTTCCTACAAGTCCCTGGAATATGGCAGCAATATTATGTAAACAGGGCGTTGTACTCCATCTGATAGCAGCTGGTGTCAACGGCTGAATGGCTACAGAAGGAGAGGTGAAAGCCTTCAGGTATGTAAGTAGCATGGACCCTTCTCCATTCCGGTGGCTTCTTCTCAGAGATGTTCTCAAAACATCTTTAGAGAGGAATTCAAACAGAACAAAAACTCCCACACCCCACTTTCACTTAAGCAAGATGCTTTAGCTGAATCTCACTGTCCTCCAAGGAATAACTGAAGTTATTTTCCATCTGATCAGGAGATGTTTATACAGTAGAGAGAGAATACTATAGGGATTATGAGCACGTCAAGGCCTGCACTACATGCCAGGGAGGATGAAGATTAAAATCATAATTGCCTCACATTACAGAACAGGCCTATAATCCTATAAAATGTTTAGCCCAATGGCCAGCTATCTCAGTTGAATCTGTCCTGTCAAGGAGCAATTAGAACTGAAAAAACTAAAAGATGAGGCATGCACACACGTACTACTGCATGCCAGCTAGCCTTCTGAAATGCAGGAACCGGGATGAGAAATTTTTTCTGAAATGGTTTGGACTTCTAGAAAACAAAAACAGATTTTGGGAAAATGGACGAGGAAAATACCCAAAGATGA